CTATCAAAATCATTGTTCGTTCATAACATACAATGATAACTACTTTTGATTATTGCATTGTAAGAAATGTAAAAACAATAAGTAATTAAACATGGTTAGCTGACATATATATATATATACATGTATGTTTCCACAGTACTCACGTATTAAAGTCAAACTAACGTTTACCAAATTGTTTGAAGATTGTAAATGCATGTATTCAAGCACCTAAAATAGGATGGAATTTTTTATAGATCAAGTAATCAGTATCAGAAAGGGTTTTTGTACTGATTGTAGTAATTTCAATAATTGAAATCATGAGTCAATTGAAGTTAGACCATCATGAAAAGTCTGGAAGCACTGTATGGCCGTTTCGTCCTACTGTGGGACTCCTCAGCAGTACTCATTATACGACCCCACCTTGCGGGATTTGAAAACAGGACCTATCAGTAATCGACAAAGTTGTCCCAATACATTAAGACATAACTACTCATTGATATCATATGTTAAGATGTTTACTAACTTAGTAAGTCCAATAGTAATAATACCAATAATAATAAACAATCATCATTTTGTTTTGTTTGTTTAAACCAATACTGAACCATCTGATATGAATTCGAATAAACCAATCAACAAGGGTATAGAAGTCTCCAACAACGAAAGTACATATTCTACAGAAGTAATAACAGAACAAACTATAAACAATCCATTATTACCAAATACATTTTCATTAATCAGCTATGAACAACAATTATTACAATCTGGTCGAAATATTGATGTTGATTTAGTGATGCGTCGTTTCACTATCTCACTTTTATTACCATTTCTATTGATAGTTACAGTTTTATGCATTGCTTTTCCACTATTTTTATATAGAAGACGTAAGTTGATCTTATCAACATGAGTACTATTATTTTCGAATAATCTGATCAAATTTCTATGTATACCAAGGTATTTCTAAGATGGTAAAGAAGATTTGTAACTCAGCTGAATGATTTTAATGGAGTTTTGTTCTCTGAGTTGGAAGGTTTTTCGACGGGACTCTAATTTATGAACGACCTTTGAACGAATCTGTAGTGACCTTGAGAAACATTAGCCAATAAGAAAACAGTTACTATAGAGTAAACTTATATCCAAAACCAAAGAATTAAAGTGGACACACTTATTCTACATGGTTCGAAAACTTGTCAAGGTTAGAAAGAGGTTCAGAGGTTCTAAAACCGTAACGCATACGATAGAGGAAATCATCCATATGGCTTCATAATAGTCGGCCTCTGGAGTCATGACAAGGTGTCAAAACCATTTCAGCCCCGACCATATAGCCCCAATATTGTTTGTGTTCACTCCGGTTGTTGGGCCTACAAAATGCCGCTTGTGTATAGCGATATGATGCATATAACTAAGTGTATATAGGCATCTGTATACTTTCCAACCATCTGTATATATTGTAGTACCTGACTCTAGCCAGTGTTACTGATGCTTTCTTATCCAGTTTACTTTATCCAGTCATACTTTGTCAGTATCAGTCTGGATCGAGCGAAAAAAATCCTATTCTAACAGACTTCTTCCTCCAACACATATTACATAGAAAGACAACATCACTAAGGTAGTCCGCACAAAGTCTACAAGTCATTTGATTACCACAATCACATATAAAGGAAGTTCTTAGTAGTCTCATTTCTTGTAACCGCTCAGTTATAACGTTTCCTCTATAATTTTCTGTGAACCGATCGTACATGAGCATCTGGTAATGAAATTGGCACCGTGACCTTGAAGTCCCTCTGACGCTTATGATTGAAATGTCCATCATGATAATTCAAATGGCTGTATCAAATAATGTAATTACGATTTCCCAGATGATTGTGAATATAATACTGAATAATTTAAATTATGTAGTTAAATTTCATAAAATAACTAATCAAATTCTTATAGATATTAAATTATTACTTGACTTATACGTAATCATATTCATTGACGTCATTTATTTATTTTGTTTGGACACATAAATATTGCTACAAAGAGGCACATAAGTCACTTGATTTGTGTGTAGGTTATGATACTGACTGGGTGCTCAGATGAAGTAGGTGAGTCTCCTAAGGGGCCACACCCGAAGCCTTTAACTACAAGGTCTAGTTCACAAGACAGTGGAGCAACGTAAGGAGATGCAGTCCTATGGTAGCCGATGACCAATAATTGGTTCATACGCCATTTGTTCCTTCAGGATCTTGGAGCCCATGTCCGCCGTTGGGTTTTTCAACTCATCTAGGTGAATCTTCCATATCTACCAACCCGGTTAAATTGCCGGACATTTGCTTTTCATCCTCTCGATTTCGTAAACGACATCCCGACCGCAAAATGGCAGTGAGTAGGACTTCCCTGGTAGTGGCTGTATACACGTGGTCATGTGAGAGCATTTCTAGTGGGAGAGCGAACTCTCCCCATTCTCGTCCGTACCAGGGGATTTGGGGGGAATAAACTCATTATGCGAATGATTTCTTCACTGAACTAAATTGTTTTACAAACACAAAATTTAAATTAATTATGAATAAGGTAATTGAAATGTGCAGATCATGAGTTAACAGATTACATGATATTAAATAAGAGAATTAACTAATCATTTTTTCGAAAAAAAGTGTCAAATATTAGAACTGTTCCCTTGGTATCGTTAGCTTTTATCTTCTCATTGATGTTTAGGACTGCAACTGATCAATCTGTTATTGGCATATGTGCATCGTGTGCGGACTGCCTCTATATTGCCTTGGGTCACAAGCTTTATAAGTAAAGATGGATGGTGGCTAGTAGTAGAATCTGGAACGGGCGTTTGGTCCTATTTTGGACTCGTCAGCTGGATGTGCCTGCATCTCAGGAATAATGTTCACTCTGGGAATCGAACCCATTGTTCACTAAGAGCAAACTAACAAATATTAAAACTATGTACTAATATAACAACAACAAAAGAGAATTAGAACTGAAAAGAAAACAAAACATAAGTTCAGTTTTAGTCCGCTATGCATTAGTCTACATTGTAGAGCCCTTTATTTAGACATCATTTATATCGGACGATGTTGTCGATAGGCTCACCAATTTTTGTGACCCTTTATCTGACTCTAGTAATATCGTATGATTAATTGTTATATTGATTGTATATTTCATACAATCGTGGATCCAGACAAAAAATCGGAGAAGCCAAGAGAAAGGAGCAGAGCGAAATGACGCGCGGTGGAGTGGTCATGTAAACCAACTCCATTAAATCAAGCGTTAATCAATATTTATAACCTGATAAAAATAAATCAGAGACATGTGATGAATAGGATAAGAATGGCACACACATATACACTCATATAAAAACAGTCAACGTTGATATGCAAGTAATTAACAAGGTCAAAATGTGACTTAAGTGGAATGAATAGATTGACCTATCCAGAAGCTGTAATAAGTTATGTGGACTTAACATAGTAACCGACACTACAACATCAATGATAATAGTAAATTAACGATTAGCATAAATATTTTTCAGACACAGTGGTTTGACTTGTAAACATAGATACTTATTGATTAGATGGTGGTTGGAGGTAGTCGACAGGAAACCCTGGACCCAGGTTTCATGCTACTTGGCACTCGTCAGCAAGGTGTACCTGTAATCTTGAAGGAACTGGTGCTCAAACATAATATTGATCACCACCCAGTGATTAATCAATTGTGAATACTTATTGGTTCGATAATATACAAGAGACGAAAATGATGAAAACTCCACGACGAAACCATTCAGCTAAGAGAACAAAACTTCATCAAAACCAAAACATATTTATAACCACATAATATATTTGATCCAATAAATTTCGGTTAGTTACATTTCATTTTAATTACTAACTTATTAATCCAGTAAGCAACTATAAACCTCCTTTTATCATCTTCTATTCAACTAAATAATGAAGAATGATAATGTGATTGTAGTAAATGAAACTTCATGTATTGATTAATTTTAGGTGTGTGTGTGTGTGTTTTTAAAAATCTCCTTTCTATTCCCCTTTTTTTGTATTATTATTCTATTTTAGGAGCACATAGGATGATCAGTTAAAATTACAAATGTCTAGGAAACCAATCATTCCTGGGAAAGTGGTTTTTTTTATTATTTTCAATTCAACAGACATGGATTGAGTACAGCTTTACTTTAAGTGTAATCTTTTATTATCTATATATACATATACAATGGTGTAATGTAAAATCTCATTGTGAAACGTTTAACATTTGGTCTAATCTATTGTAGAGTTCAATGAATGTATATAACTTGAATTTAATATTTTTCACATATCTAACATCACAAGTTTTATAATAAGAGAAGGGTTTTGTGGAGATTGTAGTAATTTTAATAATTGAATTTATGTGTCCATCGAAGCTGGATCATCATGGAAAATTTAGAAGTACTGGATGGTTGTTTTGTTCTAGTATGGGACTTCTCAACAATGCATATCCACAATCCCGACTCTCAAGATTCAAATCCGAAATTTATCAATAATATACTGATAATAATGATGGATGGTGGTGCAACTTCGTCGATTGGTTAGAGTTAGAAATTAACACCATTGGATGCCGGCTCAGTGGTCTGATAGGTCCTGGTTTCGAATCTCGTGAGGCGGGGTCGTGGATGTGTATTGCTGTGGAGTCTTTTAATAAGACGAAATGGACGTCCAGTGCTTTCAGATTTTCCATGATGGTCTAGCTTCAAATGACTCATGAATTCATATAATAAATCACTCTAATCTCTACAAAACCCTTCTCTGATGTGCAAATATTCAAAATGTTACTGTTACCTTTTAATGAATAGAATCCATATACTCCAATCATCGACTTAAAAAAATGAACACTTAGAATGTTAAATAATTAATTAGATTATGATTAATTAAGAGAGTAAGATACCTTTAAAACTGTGTATATTCAATGAAAATATTCTTAATAAATTTCAAAACAATTCACTTTCAATTATATACTCTAATTTATATCTACATTTTGATCGATTATATTCACCACATACAAGTAGTAGTAGTAGTAGTAGTAGTAGTAGTAGTAGTAGTAGTAGTAGTAGTAGTAGTAGTAGTAGTAGTAGTAGTAGTAGTAGTAGTAGTAGTAGTAGTAGTAGTAGTAGTAGTAGTAGTAGTAGTAGTAGTAGTAGTAGTAGTAGTAGTAGTAGTAGTAGTAGTAGTAGTAGTAGTAGTAGTAGTAGTAGTAGTAGTAGTAGTAGTAGTAGTAGTAGTAGTAGTAGTAGTAGTAGTAGTAGTAGTAGTAGTAGTAGTAGTAGTAGTAGTAGTAGTAGTAGTAGTAGTAGTAGTAGTAGTAGTAGTAGTAGTAGTAGTAGTAGTAGTAGTAGTAGTAGTAGTAGTAGTAGTAGTAGTAGTAGTAGTAGTAGTAGTAGTAGTAGTAGTAGTAGTAGTAGTAGTAGTAGTAGTAGTAGTAGTAGTAGTAGTAGTAGTAGTAGTAGTAGTAGTAGTAGTAGTAGTAGTAGTAGTAGTAGTAGTAGTAGTAGTAGTAGTAGTAGTAGTAGTAGTAGTAGTAGTAGTAGTAGTAGTAGTAGTAGTAGTAGTAGTAGTAGTAGTAGTAGTAGTAGTAGTAGTAGTAGTAGTAGTAGTAGTAGTAGTAGTAGTAGTAGTAGTAGTAGTAGTAGTAGTAGTAGTAGTAGTAGTAGTAGTAGTAGTAGTAGTAGTAGTAGTAGTAGTAGTAGTAGTAGTAGTAGTAGTAGTAGTAGTAGTAGTAGTAGTAGTAGTAGTAGTAGTAGTAGTAGTAGTAGTAGTAGTAGTAGTAGTAGTAGTAGTAGTAGTAGTAGTAGTAGTAGTAGTAGTAGTAGTAGTAGTAGTAGTAGTAGTAGTAGTAGTAGTAGTAGTAGTAGTAGTAGTAGTAGTAGTAGTAGTAGTAGTAGTAGTAGTAGTAGTAGTAGTAGTAGTAGTAGTAGTAGTAGTAGTAGTAGTAGTAGTAGTAGTAGTAGTAGTAGTAGTAGTAGTAGTAGTAGTAGTAGTAGTAGTAGTAGTAGTAGTAGTAGTAGTAGTAGTAGTAGTAGTAGTAGTAGTAGTAGTAGTAGTAGTAGTAGTAGTAGTAGTAGTAGTAGTAGTAGTAGTAGTAGTAGTAGTAGTAGTAGTAGTAGTAGTAGTAGTAGTAGTAGTAGTAGTAGTAGTAGTAGTAGTAGTAGTAGTAGTAGTAGTAGTAGTAGTAGTAGTAGTAGTAGTAGTAGTAGTAGTAGTAGTAGTAGTAGTAGTAGTAGTAGTAGTAGTAGTAGTAGTAGTAGTAGTAGTAGTAGTAGTAGTAGTAGTAGTAGTAGTAGTAGTAGTAGTAGTAGTAGTAGTAGTAGTAGTAGTAGTAGTAGTAGTAGTAGTAGTAGTAGTAGTAGTAGTAGTAGTAGTAGTAGTAGTAGTAGTAGTAGTAGTAGTAGTAGTAGTAGTAGTAGTAGTAGTAGTAGTAGTAGTAGTAGTAGTAGTAGTAGTAGTAGTAGTAGTAGTAGTAGTAGTAGTAGTAGTAGTAGTAGTAGTAGTAGTAGTAGTAGTAGTAGTAGTAGTAGTAGTAGTAGTAGTAGTAGTAGTAGTAGTAGTAGTAGTAGTAGTAGTAGTAGTAGTAGTAGTAGTAGTAGTAGTAGTAGTAGTAGTAGTAGTAGTAGTAGTAGTAGTAGTAGTAGTAGTAGTAGTAGTAGTAGTAGTAGTAGTAGTAGTAGTAGTAGTAGTAGTAGTAGTAGTAGTAGTAGTAGTAGTAGTAGTAGTAGTAGTAGTAGTAGTAGTAGTAGTAGTAGTAGTAGTAGTAGTAGTAGTAGTAGTAGTAGTAGTAGTAGTAGTAGTAGTAGTAGTAGTAGTAGTAGTAGTAGTAGTAGTAGTAGTAGTAGTAGTAGTAGTAGTAGTAGTAGTAGTAGTAGTAGTAGTAGTAGTAGTAGTAGTAGTAGTAGTAGTAGTAGTAGTAGTAGTAGTAGTAGTAGTAGTAGTAGTAGTAGTAGTAGTAGTAGTAGTAGTAGTAGTAGTAGTAGTAGTAGTAGTAGTAGTAGTAGTAGTAGTAGTAGTTGTATTATGATGTAATGCCAATAAACTAATTTGAACGATTTGGTATGTTGATCCGATTTACAAATAAGGTAACATCAGATTATTACTAAGTATTCTAAAAGACAATTACATGTATTCTGCAATATGAATCAATTTTTTATGTGAGTTGTTCCAAATGAATAAATGATTATCACTGTTATCTATGGTGTACAATGGCGCAACTCTGTGTATTGGTTGATGTTACACATTAGCATCGATGGTTTATGGCTAAGTGGTCTAGTGACGAAGCGCGAGGCGGGATCAAGGTTGCGTACTGCTGAGGAGTCCTGTAATAGAACGAAACAGCCGTTCGGTGTTTCCAGGTTTATGATGGTGGGCCGGCTTCAATTGATTCATTAATTCAACTATTAAATTATTAAGTATTATGTTACATGGACGTAATATTTGGGATTTTGAAAGTGCTCAGTGATTGATCATATAAAGTAATATTTCGAGTAGTATTTTTCAAAAAAAAATTTACAGGTAAATCTTCTGACTGAACATGTAAATCGATTTCCTAAGCTCTTCTAATAAAACAGGCTACATTTGTACAACGTGAACACAAGAGGGAAGAGCAAAGTGTGAAAAGATCGCTTTACAAAAAGTTTAGTTTATGTACAGAAAATAGAAGGTATTTCTGGCATTTTAGATGGCCTCGGGATTCTGTGAGTTTATGGAACCATACTAAATATAATAGCAGAATCGGTAATCATTCAATCAGAAATATGACATGTGACTCTTCACTTGCTACATGTTTCTGAGAAACGTCTACTCAATGCTGATTAGATAAAAAATGTTCTCCAGAGTTTTCAGGATCCCTGCGTAATTCTTCGACGAATAATTTGGATTTCCCCAACAATTATTTTTGTGATTGAACTCAAGCTTTCTATATTACTTACACTTCAAATTTATCATGATGCTTGACCAACTCCACAGTGCTGATTAAGTTTTACTTGGCAAGTAGTTATTAGGGATATCATAAGAAAGAACAACGAAGTATTTATTCCTGGCAGAAAATACACTCGAAAATGAAAGTCAGTCAGCTACACAGTAGGACCAAGCACATATATTCATTGGACCACGTTGTCATACCTCATAAACACAACAAGATGAACACAGAATTCATAGAAGCAGTTAACTCAGTGGTGGAAATATATCAGATTGCAATATCGCTATAGTACAGGAAGAAAGATTTAGTACGTAGAAATAAAGATATGAAGCGATTTTAATCTCTTAGTTTAAGGGAAGACAGAGAGTGTATACACCGACGCCATTGTGATCGATTCTGAGCCATGTCAATAGAGTCTCTAACTATTGGTTACAATAGTCACGCGGACACCAACCAAGTAGTCTGCATCTCCCAATATGGCTCAGACTAGAAGTTAGTGACTTCATGGGTTGGTGCCACGTTTTGATTTGGCTGCTCCTAACTTTCTTCCAACCATCTCCAACACCGGTTAGCATTGCACGTCGTGGTAATCGGTGTTCAGGCATATGTAACACGTAGCCCAACCATCTCAGTCGATGAAGATTCACAACCTCATCAACTGATTCACCATCATCATTCCCTAATACCCTGCATCTAACCCGACTACTACTTACCCAGTGATCCCAACAGACGCCAGCAATATTTCTAAGGCATCTGTGGTCAAATACTAGTATTTTACGAGTGTCTTCTATTATTAATGGCCATGTTTCGCTGCCTTAAATTAAAACAGAACGGACTGCCGCGCAGTATACTCGTCCTTTTATTGATAGACGGATATCTTGCCTTCGCCATAGGTGACGTAAGTTGACAAAAGCTAAGCAAGCTTTTCGAATCCGTGCTGAAATTTCGTCAGATACCAATCCATTAGAGCTGATCAGAATTAAAATATAAGTGAAGATGTCAACGCGTTCGACTACTTCACTCCCTATCCTTAGTTCAAATGTTGACGCAGACCGGTAATATAATAGTATTATTAGTGTCAAAATTATTATCAAGGAATTTGAATCATTTTAAAATATTAAATCTAGTCGAGCATTTAACCTCAATCTCCATGTGATATGGGAATTTTAGCGAAACCAAAGTTACAAGACTTGGAGAAAAATATGTTACTACTTGTTGTTTAGTGTCCAAGTCTGGATCACACCATCGAAAGCACAACCAAATAGACACTATATCTTTCAAATAATGCATTTGGAATCGAATTACAACATCAAGTATGGACCCTAATATAGTAGCGGTGTACACATCAATAGTAGGAATGAATATTGAAATAAAAGTACAAATGAATTTTGAGATGGTGGAGACGATTTGCAGCTCAGGTGGATAATTATCGTGGAGTTTCGTTCTCTGGGCTTAGATTGTAGATGAATGGCACAAGTGGCCCATTGTGAAAGAATCCATTAGTCGCATGTATGCAAGTGGTTGAAAATAAATCAAACTACTGCAAACTATAAAGTAGTGTCGAGTAAAATACAACAAAGTTGAGCAAACACTAACCAAAATCAAAAGAGGAAACTGATTTATCAGGATAATTTCTATACAATAAAATGGTTACATGAAAAATTCATCTTCCACACAAGCTAATTGGACGAATTCATGGCATTTTTCATGTGACCTTTAGTAATATACAGTGAACAAATTAACAGTGAGAGTACTATTGAAGGATAAATATATGACAAATCAGTAAACCAAAACGGATAAATTGCAGGAAATGAGATGAGCCTTTGTGTAGAATTCAATGCATGATACAACATGATTAAACGGTCACATTGCCTATAACAATGGGTGATGATATTCTCCATAGAAATGACAGGGAAAGAAGAAATATGTTCTCAACCAATCAAACGATTACCTTTCAACTAAACACACTGTCTGACCCGAATAAATTCGGTTTTAGGGAAAAAGCAATGAATCTTCCTTAAAACATGATTGTACCAACTAGATAGCTTAGTTTATTTCACTCAGATCAACTTCACTTTATTTACTTCCAGTAAAACCCACGTTTAAGTGAATTCCGTACTGAAACATATTGCTCCCTTGGTAAGCCTCTTAACGCCTACCCAATAACAACTGGAAAGGATTATCCAAGACAGAGTTCGATGGAGAATGCTGATAGGCGGTCTATGCTCCTCGACGAAGGATAACAGGTGTAACTAAGTAAATATTGTGCCCCTATGACTCATGCTACTTATGTCGGCAGACGTAAGCAGTATGAAACACCGGTTAGAAGTGTATTGCCCGTCAAAAGAAGGTTGAGAAGACTGAACTGTACAAAACAGATAGATAAAAAGGAATTGAGGAGTGGCAAAATCATGAAAGATTTAAAGGACAATTGATGGAAGATTTGCAAATGAAGAAATTTAATATGTGGTTTTCACATTCGACGAAAGATTTTTGTAGTTTTGCATTAAATAATAAATAAGACTTCCCTATTTGAGTGCAGAATGCAGAAAACCACCCGTCCAACTGTGATTATTCAGCTTCAGTGCCTGTACATCTTGGATTCGGCTATGTTTGATTAGCCTAATAGTGGAAAAACATCCTAGCAACAGTTTTCTGGAAAATACCAGTCCCATCAAGATTTATAAGGTATGTATATGGGTGACCTAAAAATTGCTTTTTATCGACTTACAATCGCTATGCCATGACAGGTTAATAAGAACTCTGACTGTTACAAAACTAGCAAAACATCACAATTTACTACAGCTTTACTCAAGAGCATAATATCAACTATAGGGATAGGTTTCCAAATGTTTGAAGTTTCTACGATAGCTCGCTCCCCCCAACCTAAACTCATCTCCACCAATCCAAAATAATAACTTCAGTCGTCTAACGGAATCTCTGCTTCCGGAATCGTTGAAGTGATTTCAGATTGGCGGTATTGAATTCTAGTAAACATCATTGCGATTGTCTGTAATGTCAATTTCCAGTAGTGAAGCTGATGATATTTTCAAAGAGATGTTGTTGGTGCAGGATCTCCGAGCTTATGTGAATGAGACTTTCCGTTATTTTGCAATACGAAGTCATCAAAATCCAAATTAGTATACAAAGTGAAGGTTCATTTTCAGAGATGGAATTTTCAAGTGACACGAAGGTTGTAAATGTGAATTTTATGCATTTATCCGGCTGATAGAAAGCTTTCATAAAGTACCTAGATGGTTAATGTTTCATAATCAGGAGTTGCTGTGTTTTGCTGATGAAAAAGACCCTCGTGTTTTGTTTTACGGCTCACCTGAAGAGCACTATTAGGCTTTTAGTGATTTCCGGAGATACAACATTTATTATCATCAGTTTTCTGTATGAAACCTACAGAAAGAAAAGTTACAGAAGACACTTTCTATGTGCGAAAAGGTCTATTTAGACAGTCGCAACTTACAGGTGGGTTTAAATTATACTATGCACTTTACTTGGTAGATGATTTTGAAACGTTAGTTGCATATATCATCAATCTTGGGGGTGCAGATAAACTGAAATGTAAACGGCAGTTTAGAGTACTAACTTTTTCTCAACACAAGATTAGAAAAATATAGCAAGTCGATTCTTGAATGTCGTAGGCATCGATGTCATCCTTAATTTAATATGATGAAATGTCAGTAGTCATACGAATGGTGGTGGTGTGAGTGATGAGATCAATGCATGTATAATGAAAGCCAGAGCGGCTTATGCCAATCTAGGCCACTTTTGGCGCCTTCGTGATGTTAGTCTGGCTGTAAAAGGTCGGATCTACAACGCGTCTGTGAGAGCAATTTTGCTCTATGCTTGTGAAACCTGGTCTCTCCTAGTTGAGGATGTTAGACGACTCTGTGTTTCATCATCGTTGTCTCCGAAGGATTGCTGACATCCAGTGACAAAACCATGTTAGTAATCCAGAGGTTCAGCATCGTGTGTTCGGGCACAGAGACGATAATCTAATTGATGTCACTATCTTGAACCATCGACTTCGGTCGCATGGACATGTTCTACGAATGTCGTCCCAGAGAATTCCACGTCGTGCATTATTTGCCGACTCTGGGACTGGTTGGAAAGACCGGAGAGCCGGTCAGTGTATGACATGATGTCGTGGTATAAAGGACAGCTGCAAGGGACTGGCTTATGTTGGTTCTTCTCGACTCCCTGACTGGGTTCTGAGAGATGGTGCAACACAGTGGCTAGAGAAGCCAGTGGCGATCCTGCTGTAACCTTCGTTTACTTTCTTCATAAAAAGTGGCTGTAATTTCCTTAACTGAAAGAATTCTTTCTGGTTGTACCTTACGGTTCCCCCATTATTATTATTACTATTACTACACCACCTTACACAAACCTGTGGTCGTTATTGTTTTTCTTCTCTTTTATACGCGCCTTATGTTCTTTTTCTTTTCCCATTCTCATTGTTATTGTGTGGCGTATATATATCTGGTGCCCCCTTGTACCAGTATTTTTGTGTTCAAATAAATAAAGTCATACGATGAAGCAAACTATCCGGAGTATATAAGAATATATAAATAAACGTAACTTCCTAAACTACCAGACTAGGTCAACTGAAATAAAGTGGCTACATTGTCCTAATGGACTTCTGCCACGTAAATATGTGGGTATATCTGGAGATTTGAGTTACTTGACACTAACAATGGTTAATTAACTGACATTAAGTACATTGTCTATTCATCCGTTGTAAAACCAAGCATTTTTATCTCTAATTATCTTGTGAAGAGTGATTTAGAACTTAAGTAACTGCAAAGATGAAGAATAGATTGTCCGAATGTCACAAATGTACACAGCAAGAAATAGAAGCCTGTTGGCAAGAAGGTAAAAGGTTACACGTTTTTACAAATAACACAGCGGGTAAAAAACAAGTATACGTTAGTTCATTCGCATATAGGTATATTTATCCACTCTTTAATCTATGGTCAATAGACTTTATGGAATGACAACCGGAATTTAGCTGAAGTGATCATATATCAAACTTCTATTCTCTTTGTTAAGTATTTAGTTGAAGAAAAAACGAAGAGTAAAGACGGTTATCAATTGAAAATCCTGGATCTAGGTTTCGGCATTAAGCACTTGAGATGAACGACATTAGTCACTGCTCAGTAACTAATCAATTGTTAATATATCTCAATGCTATAAGAACTTAGTTGCGCTCTGGATAGGTCTGACTGGGAAGCTAGATGATATGGGATGGAACCCTTCAGAAAGCAGCAGTCCTCTCAAGATCGCAGGTACCACTTACTAATAATGAGTGCCAGTAGCACGAAACCTAAGTGCAGAATTTTATCTCGACTACCTCGAACCACCGCTGTATATACCCAAACAGTGAATTTAGGTTTTATATTTTCTGAGACGAATCATGGTAAACACCGATTCTTTATTACTATTTTCTTATAAGTTAACTCTTCAACATCATCGGGACTATAAACTCATTTTCTTATTGGTGAGTGTCAATTAATGCATCTTTGTGTCAAGAAAGTGGATACTTAGTTTATTTTTTATCATAAAATTACACAGAACTGCTTGATGACATTTGCAGAAAGTAATTCAAATTACATTTATCATCATAAACGAGTCATATGGACAACGATGAAACTAATTTTCTATGTATCATTATAGAAGAGAATTCAAGTACTTAAGGAAAACATACAAAGACCATGACATGTCTAAGATATTTTAGTAATCCATCCACAGCAAAACATTGACCAGTTTCTAAAACGGTAAATTCTCACCATTTCAAATGTGTACGTTAAGTTCTATATATATTTGTGGTATATATGACTCAATGATCTATGTTGCATACAACACATGGAGGTTATTTGGTTTGAAAATCAGATAAATTAATTCATATCAGAAAGGTTTTTGTGGATATAATAGTAATTTTAATGGTTGACATCATAAGTCAATTGAAGCTAGACTACCATGGAAAACCTGGACAGCCGTTTCATCCTATTGAGGAGTCCCACAATAGGATGAAACGACCATCCAGTGCTTCCAAGTTTTCAATCAACTCATGATCTCAACCACTGAAAAAACTAATTTCGATGGTTAAGATCATGAGTCAGTTGAAGCTAGACTACCATGGAAAACCTGGAAACACTGGACGGCCGTTTCTTCCTATTGTGGGAATCCTCAGCAGTGCGCATCCACGACCTCGACCACTGCAAGATTCGAACTCAGGACCTACTGGTTTCGCGCGCGAGCACTTAGCCACTGATCCGGCATTGTTTAGAATTACTAAAACACGTAAAATCTAATGCTAGATAATCAAATCTACATGTTTTGTTTTACGGTTTTTCCAGTCTGCTACTAATATCAAGCTTTCTATACTTGAGGTCCAACTAGTTATTTAATTGAGAAAACCGATAATGAGAAGAAAGATTTATTGACTAGGAAAACTGATTCTAGAATATATATGCATTCATTCATGTATACATATCCCCCCTCTTTAGAGAGTAAAGTTACATTTTGCAATCAGTGATGTTTATCACTTTTCCTAGAGGATAGAGCCAAATCTTGACGAGTTTGATTGATCACTACTAGTTTCCCATGAGGTAATCGAATATTTCAGTAAGAATAACGATGATCCGACTAATACATGAGTTGGTGTCAAATATTTGAAGTAGTATATAAATCTATTCTTTTTAACATCAAACCGCACTTTACTGGATAGTAATTATGGTCATTATCATTTTATATATTATGTGATTTTCGAGAAAATTATCATTGATAATTGAAAATAGACACGAAATGTTTTATGTGTATCCAAATGATAAGTCATTATTATTTATTTCAGACATAGGTTAAATGAAAATCTAGACAAGGTTAAGGTTAGTCTAAAGTGTAGACTGACACAGTCAAACAAAGAAATAATTCATAGCTTTTCTCAATGTGATATCAGATAGGTAGGTATTTGTTCAGCTTTGTATCGATTATTTAAATATTTGAAAAGTATTGGAAACAATATATAAGAACTTCTATTCTTCGTGGATTGGTTGAGGTTAGACATTAACACCCTTGGATGTCGGCTCAGTGGTCCAGTAGGTTAAGAGTTCGTGCACGAGACTGAAAGCCCTGGGTTCGAATCCCGCGGGCGGGGTCGTGGATGCGCACTGCTGAGGAGTCCCACAATAGGACGGAACGGCCGTCCAGTGCTTCCAGGTTTTCAATGGTGGTCTAACATCAATCGGTTCATGATCTGAATCAAAAACTATCTAAATTTGATCGAATATCATAGTATTTAAACGCCGAGTTGATGAAAGATATTAAGGAGGAAGAATTTATTTGTAAAACCTCAGTGAATGAATTGTTAACGTTGACTGAATGACCTGTTTAGAATACAATTAACCAGAGAACCATGTACTTTGTGACCCAGGATCTGACTCCAATCGGATCATATAATTGATTGTTATCGAAATATACATTCTGGCTATCTTTGTATATAATCGACTTAAATCGCGTTGGTGAATAACGAAAATAAGTGAAATAGGAGAATGGATTTCCAAATAAATATATTTTATACATTGATTGATCGGAACAGACGAATAGAAGAGAGTGGAGCGAAATGACGCGCAGTGGAGAAGGCATATAATCCAACTCCATTTAATCAAGCATCAATCAATATTTTTAACCAGATAAAAATAGGATAAGAAGTGTACACACATATGCGCTCATATCAAAACAGTCAAGACTGATAAGCGAATAATTAACGAGGTCAAAGTATGGCTCAAGTAGAATGGGTAAATTTGCTTGTCCACGAGCTAGAATAGACTATATGAGCCTAACATAGTAACCGACACTACAACTTATTTATATTCGATAATTTTGATTATAATTCTTTGAAAAAGTTTGGATCAGTTTGCCAGGCGAAACGTTGGATTTACTTTAAATTCATTCGCTGAGATTTTACAAATGCATTCTTCCTCTTTAATATTGGAAACAAGCTAAATGAACTAATAAAATTTTTTTCAACGCACTGATCGAAGTTCGATACTCGGTCTGAAAACATTCTGCTGACTAATTTTGAGAAAGCTGAGGAAATTTCCGAAACGTTTAGCAATCAAATAACTTCTCAGTACTATTTTAACTGAATTACAAATAATCATTCAAAATCGTTTACAAGGTACAACGGAAGCTGCTAAACTACAAAAATAAACATATTCAGTGATAAAAACCAGCAACTGGAGTGATGGTGAAACCTGCTATTGTAAACAACATAAGATCTTCCACACAAAATACACTGACCCCATTTCTCATAATTCATATCAACTGAAATCCCTGTTACGTAACTTAAACATAGAGAAATAAACAAAACACGTAACTAAAAGTTTAAGGAACTAAACTAGTTAAAATGAAGCTTGAAAGATCGTTCCACATTTCAAACAACACACAAGAAAATCAATGTGTTCCAGCTGCTTAATAATATTCTTTTAAAGTAGATTTTCATCGATCAACAGAATACAGAAAAAGTGATATGGACAGCTAATCATAAGGTTAATAAATGACAATCAGCAGTAACTTAGAGGACAAGTGTATTACATTCTCAGAATGGGTTTTGTGGGGATTTTTTTAGAAATTTAACTTGGTTGAAGTTAGACATTAACACCGTTGGATGCCGGCTCAGTCGTTTGGTTGTTTAAGCGCCGATAGGTCCTGGGTTCGAACCCCGCGGGGTGCGGGATCGTGGATGCGCACTGCTGAGGATTCCCATATTAGGACGAAACGGCCGTCCAGTGCTTCCAGGTTCTCCATAGTGGTCTAGCTTCAATTGACTCATGATTTCAACAAGTGTATTACATTCGCTAACTAATGGATCAGTTCCTTAAACATTAGAATGATAAGTATATATAAATATATATAAATGAGTATCTGTGCATTTCATTCGGTAGTCCTTTACAATTCCATTCTTACTCTTGTGTTCTCGTTTAAGTAGTCAGTTTGGAGACTAACACATAGCACATTGTATATCAGTATCTGATTTTGGACACCATAGGCCATTACAACAAAAATCTTTTGAGATGATGAAAATATTCTTTATGTGATATGAATTACAAAAAAATAATAATAATAATAATAACGAAGTACAAACTTATCAATAGTATTAAACAATCAACAACAAAAAATTCACCATGACAGAAGAAATGTTTACATTGATCAATTTTTGTCATTAAAACTTAGTAGGAAAGGAGGGGGGTAGAAAGGAAACAAACCCAGTAAATCAATAAACTATTTCAAATTGATTTGTTTTTTAAATCGATCAACAATTGCATCTAAGAAGTCCATCGTTGTTAAATAATGTTCTAATTTAACATTTTTACTACCATAGATACAAATAGCTAAATCTTTTGTCATTCTACCTGATTCTACAGTATCAATACAAGCTTTTTCTAGATGATGACAAAATCTGTGAATCAAATGAAAATAAATACAAATTTTAGAAAGAATAATTTACAATTATTTTAATTTGGAATCAAATTGAAAACACGATCAGTATATATTTGATTATAATAAAATTCTATAATCAGTCAGCTACAATGTAGGACTAGGCACATAGATGCATCGATCCAAGTTTCCATACCTCATAAACACAACAAGATGAACACAGAATTCATAGAAGTAGTTAACTCAGTGGTCGTAATATATAGAAGAAAGAATGCATATAAAGATATAATACAGGAAGAAAGAATTGGTTTGTAGAAATAAAGATATGAAGCGATTTTAATCTCATAGTTTAAGGGAAGACAGTGAGTGTATACACCCACACCATTGTGATCAATTCTGAACCATGTCACCAAGAGTCTCCAACCATTGGTTACGATAGTCATGCGGACCCCAACCAAGTAGTCTGCATCTACCAACATGGCTCAGCCTAGAAGCTAGTGACTTCAAGCACTGATACCACGTTTTGGTTTGGCCGCTCCTAACTTTCATCCAACCATCTTCAACACCGGTTAGCATTGCAAGTCGTGGTTATCGGTGTTCAAGTATACGTAACACGTGTTTCAACCATCTCAGTCGATAAAAATTCACAATTTCATCAACTGATTTACCATCATTCCCTAATACCCTGTGTCTAACCTCACTATTCTATAGTAGAAATATTCGATCAATCTTTTAATAATCAGAGATTAATAATGTAACAATTATCCCAAATAATACTGTTTAATTCAATCAAAAATAAAAATGAACTAACTAATTGTCTATCTAGAGCATTTAATCAATTCCGTTCGAAATACTAAGAAATGTTGAGGATCAAAATTACACTAACAATAACTGTAAGAGGACTAAGAATTAATTTTAATCTGAAGAAAGCTATTGTCAACTGTTCGCATTATTTCATTCATGACCAACAAGTTCATATGAACCATTTAAATTATATCAAAATGTCCTATTCATAAATTCAAGTTTCATACTAAAACTACTGTACATATTTGTTGAACGCGTTTTAGCCAGCCCATTAATTTGATGATAGAATTCACTTTTGATTGCTATTTAGGACCCAATAGGTTACGCGGTGCAACTACTACTTTTTAATTACAGTGAATATTTTTACCTAAGTAATACAATATACACAAAGGGAAAAGCAGAATTCTCCGATACAACACAGAATGCACCAATCCAATCACAATTGACGGAGAAGTTTTGGGTGATGTAATAACCTTTACATATCTGGGTAGCATCATTGATGAACACGGTGGATCTGATGCAGATGTGAAGGCGCAGATCGGAAAAGCAAGAGCATCACATTTACAACTGAAGAACATCTGGAACTCAAAGCAACTGTCTGTCAACCAACACCAAGGTCAGGATTTTCAATACAAATGTCAAGACAGTTCTACTGTATGGGGCAGAAACCTGGAGAACTACAAAAGCCATCATCCAGAAAATACAGGTGTTTTTAACAATTGTCTACGCAAAATACTTCAGATCCATTGGCCGGACACTATTAGCAACAACTTACTATGGGAGAGAACAAACCAGATCCCAGTGGAGGAAGAAATCAGGAAGAAGCGCTGGAAGTGGATAGGACACACATTGAAGAAAGCACCCAACTGCGTCACAAGACAAGCCCTCACATGGAATCCTGAAGGCCAAAGGAGGAGGAGAGGAAGACCAAAGAACACATTACGCCGAGAAATGGAGATAGACATGAGAAAAATGAACAAGAATTGGATGGAACTATAAAAGAAGGCCCAGGACAGAGTGGGTTGGAGAATGCTGGTAAGTGGCCTATGCTCCATTGGGAGTAACAGGCGTAAGTAAGTAAGTAAGTAATATAAAAAAGAATATTAATGTAGACTCAATCGAGTTTGTTCAATGTAAATGTGGAGCTTAGTGCAACACTACTTAGGACCGATGTCAGCGATAAATGAACGGACGTAAAATATATTTTTTGAATTACCGTTCGAACAGATACTTCTATGCTGACTACTGTTGGAGATTGTTGGAAGAAAGTTAGGGGTGGCCAAACCAAAACGTGACACCAGTCCATAAAGGCACTACCTTCTAGTCTGAACCATGTCGATAGATGCAGACTACTCAGTTGGAGTCCGCGTGACTATAGTAACCAGTGGTTGGAGACTCTAGGTGACATGGCTCAAAATCGATCACAATGTGGTAAGTGTATACAGTCCTTGTCTTCCTTTAAACCATGAAATTGAAATTGCTTTATACCTTTGTTTCTACAAACTAATTCTTTCTTCCTTACATAAAATCTTCCTTTTATATATTACTACCATTAAAGTGACTACTTCTATGAATTCGGTGTTCATCTTGTTGTGCTAACGCGGTATGACAATTTGGATCGACGCATATATGTACCTGCTTCTACGGTATAGATGACTGACTGATAAGAAAGCAAAAACATATGTGTTCCCAAGTTTTCGATAACAGTTAATCTCTACCTTGTATCACTAGTTTAATATCGTGAAGTTATACTCTATACACTCCTTGTTATAGTCCTCAAAACAATGGTTAATTTCCAAATTCCTAATGTATAAAATTGATTCATTGCTTCAAAGTTCGTCAGCTTATTTACAGTATTATTTTAGAACAACCATACAACAGTATTCTTTCCAACCTCATCCATGTCAGATTGTTCGAAAACATGCATTAATCCAGAAATCATCTCACATAACAATAGCATATTTTTTATCTACATGATTTCATAATCTAAGTATTACATAATGAACAAGTCAATAGTTTGACTAAGTCACTATAATTACGAATGATTAATAAAAACATAACAGAGATTTTTCATTAGGTTACTTTTTATACAAATAAATAAAACTTACTCAATTAACTGATTATTTCCATCTAATTTGCCTCTATGTTCCAAACCCCTAGTCCATGCAAATATAGAAGCAATTGGATTTGTACTAGTTGGAAGACCTTTTTGATGCTGTCTATAATGACGTGTAACAGTTCCATGAGCTGCTTCAGATTCAATAGTTTTTCCATCAGGACACATTAATACAGATGTCATAAGACCTAATGATCCATAACCTTAAAAATATACAATTTTATATGAAACAAATATCATATACAATTTGAGACTCACTTTAGATTGATAATTTTGTCATTAAAAAACAACTACATGACTATAGAATTTAAACCACAATAGCATATCCTTTCATATTAAACTATAGACTACTTAGAAGAGCACAAACTTGTTCACTAACAGAGATGGGATAAAAATGACAGACACTTTGTTATTATTAAAAAGGTAGCACAACTAAAATGATTTAGCAAGAATGGTACCACTAAAAATCCATGACAATCCTCCTTAATTGTAATTTGATTTGTTCAAAAACAAGTAGTTGAAACTATGAGCATAAGAAAAGTTAAAGGAATTATAAGTTAAAGACTCTATTGAAAGGATTGGAAATCAATATTTCTGACGAATATTACACTAATAGAAATACTAAATTGCTAAATAAAATACATCTTTGAAGAAATGAATTTCCAAATTCACATACTGATTCCAAGTACGTTCTGTTATTGATTAGGATCACTAACCGATTGATGTTAGACCACCTTTGGAAACCTGGAAGCACTGGGCGGCCGCTTCGTTCTATTGTGGGACTCCTCAGCAGTGCGCATCCACGATCCCGCTCGCGTGATTCGAATCCATGGCTTCGGTCTCGCGCGCGAACGCTTAACCTACTGGACCCTGAGGCGACATCCAATGGTGATACTGTCCAACATCAACCAATCCACGAAATCGCTCGACCATCTTCCGATGTACTGAGGTGGATACCTATCTCTACCCGACATGGATTAGCTCCACTGGTCACGGCTTCTCACTGTTCTGTTAATTGATTTTCAGTGCATTTCATTCGTATTAATTCATTGAGTACAAAGTTAGATTATTTGATTTCTAGTAGATTTTAGCTGTATTTATTAACTTATCATGATCTAGTGTTGGTGGATATGGAAGATTGACCTAGGGGAGTTGGAAAACACTGATTCCAAACCAGTTAGTTGTGCATATGGGCTCCAGGATCCTGAAGGAACAAATGGTGTATGAACCAATCATTGATCACCGGCTACCATAGGACTGCATCCCCTGACGTTGCCTCACTACCTTTTGAATCAGACATTTAGGTCAAAGGCTCCGAGTGTGGTCCCCTAAGAGCACCACCTGCTTTGATCTGGGCACCCAGTCAGTATCACAACCTACACTCAAATCAAGTGACTTGTGTGACGCATACGTATTCGGTGCTCCTTTCTACTAATATTAATGTGTTGAAATAAATAATAATAAATGAATAAGTAATTTAAAGCGAAAATCCACGTTTCATAATAGGTTAATGGAGATTTTTCAAAATTCCGAGTTATGTCAGGATGTAGATAATAAATGACTAGACCAGACCGACTAGGTATCGATTGAACTAGTTTGTTGATCACAGTAAAATACTGGACCTTTCGACAATCAAATTTCAGATTACTTGGTAAAGCATTAGGCTAATTATCGCAAAAAATCCATTGATTCAGATCTGTTTGTGACATTAATATTTTGCCAATTTCAAATCTAATCAAATTTAAGGATATTTTGGGCCTTAATGACAAAGGTACATCAGCTACTGATTTTCATGTAGTCTATGATTGAAAACATGTAAACTGTAAGTCAATATAGATCAGACAGAAATCAATTATCTTACTTGTACTCTAAAAATCATAGTTAAGAAGGTTGAAATTACCCTGAGCAATAACATCACTTTGAACATCACCATCATAATTTTTACAAGCCCAAACAAAACCGCCATCTGATTTAAGTGTTTGTGCCACCATATCATCAATTAATCGATGTTCATACCAGATTTTATTATTTTCAAACTTCTTTTGATAATCCCTTATAAGATAGATATATAAAGAAAATGATAATAGCGCACTGAACATCTACCTAAGAATTTTTTATGTACGATCTAATCGTTGAAAGGGGTATGTATTACTATAAACGAGATATATTGAAATACTATCAAATGCATGTGGACAGTCATCAATTCCTGATTGCCAAACCGTTGAACGATACTTCTTCCTTAAGTGAATAGGTTAGCAGTGAACTTTGTGACCACTTACCCAATATTCAAACATGAACTATATAAAATAATTCCACGGAAATGGTAGGAAAGAATAAATGAATAAGATGGAGAGTTAAAGTAAAATAACTATTTCGCCATTAGACAATTTACTCAAAGGAAGAAATATAGAACACTTCTGCTTTCTGTAAGTCACAAAAAGAAAAAGTTTGCTAGATTAGTGCTAAGTGGTAGCTTACAACTTCCTGGTCAGAGTCCGAAAAACTGTGCGACCCAGTAGATTTTGCCACATATGGCTGTAGTCTTATGTCGCATTATTGGTAAACCGTAAGACCTAACTTTAAGCTGAACGAAATCACTTGAGTTCTTGTTTGAAATTTATCTTTTTAATGTTTCATATTGCCTTTAATATTATCATTAACATTACTGACTTTCTCCTTTTGTTTTTCTAACAGAAGATTCTCATTATAAAAGGTTTAGAAGTTCCCGTCGTTAATATTTAGAACTGGAATTAATCACTTTCTATTGTTATATGTGTATTAGAAGCGGAAAGTGCTGGGTTCAAGTCTCAATGTGAACATCAACGCTAATATGCAAGTACATTTAGTAAATAAGTCTTATATAGGACGGAATAGACCTCTTGGATTCCCCTATTAACCATATACCACAATACACTAAAGTAACGTTATTATATTTAGTATAGTGCTTTTTTCTATCCTTTATCGTGCTATAGACTACGTTACAATTAAATAGTAAAAAAAATTTGATAATCATCACTTCGATTGTACATACATTTATAAAATAGTTGAAGAAAGTACATTAATAATAAATGAGTTAAGAATCAAGCTTCTTACTGGCTATACACCTCTTGAAATATATCTTTGAATCTACCATCATATTGTTTCAAGATAGTGTTCTTAGTACTCAAATATAAAGGCCAATTTTTATTTAATGCATATTCGAAACAGCTACGTGCAAAACCATAAATACTCTAAATAAATAAAAAAAACCCTTAATATTAAAAAAATTATCAGGATAAAGGAAATTTGTATGTTTAATAAACTATCATTATTTATTTGAACAAATTAATATTAGTACAAAGGGACACTGAATACGTATGCGCCACATAAGTCACTTGATTTGTGTGTGGGTTGTGATACTGACTGCGTGCCCAGACCGAATCAGGTGGTTTTCTTAGAGGACCACAGCCGGAGCATTGGACCTAAAAGTCTGACCCACCGGGCAGTGAATCAACGTCAGGAGATGCAGTCCCATGATAGCCATTTTTTCCTTCAGGATCCTGGAGCCCATGTGCACAACTAACTGTTTTGGAATCACGGTTTTCCAACTCCCCTAGGTCAATCTTCCATATCCACCAACCCGGTTAAAGCGACGAATATTCGCTATCGATTTCGTAAACGACACAGCTGCCTTGAGAAGTCAGTGAGTAGGACTAGCCTGGCAGTGGCTGTATACGCGTGGCCATGTGAGAGCATTTCGAGAGGGAGAGCAGACTCTCCCTACCCTCGGTTGTATCAGGGCAGTTGCGGGCTTATTATGGTATAAGCTGTGTATAAATTTACTAAATGAGCAAATAACTATGGAAAAGTCTATGAAATGTAGGAACTATTTAATAATTAATATAAAAAGAGAAACTAAAAGTACAATGAGTTTGACAGGTTGAAATCAGTCATAATGAGAATAATAATTTAACATTATGAGTGGAAACATTTTTTTGCAATGAAATAAAAATAAATGTATGAACACTATGTAAAGATTAAATATAATAAAATTAGATAAATAGAGATACATCATTAAATATTCTGTATACAACTTATGCCTTAAACTATAGGTAATTAAAGCTTCTGAATTGTGAAGCAGGTTTGAGCCTAGACCTCTAAGAATTGTTGGATGGATCTTGTGGGTGATAAAAACAGAAGGATTTGAAGTTGAATATCATGATTATACTAAATACTTTGTTACTATTCACTACACTATATTGACAGATGTGCTCACATGTGAAGAATAGAGTTTGATATCAAAGCTTAGAGAGCACATTTTAAAACTTTCAGCTGTGGTAACTTTTGCTTTATCCAAAAAAAAAAACAAGTGACTGTTTTGATTATTACCCTGAAGAAGTCCAGACAGGTTAGCTGGACGAAACGTTGGAATTAGTTATACTTCAATCGCTGAGATTATTTTAAATATAATTTTCACATATAATGACTTCTCTATACTCAGCGCTCAATTACTGTCAAACTATTCGTTCTAATCTTGACGAATATTCGTATAGACTATTGTTTGCTATAAGGTGGTTTGGCAAACAAAATGTATTTTGAATCAACCAATTCAACAGAGCTTCCAAAAGTATAACACACAACATGTCTCTTAATTTCAAGGTTGGATGGAAATATGGAAATAAGATAAGCATAATTTGTAAATAAATTTCATTAATGCTTCCCTTCTCTTCAATTCAATTTAATTTCTACGTCTTTCAGTACTGATTGTAAAAATCTGATGTGAATACATTTCGTGAATTGGTTATCACTTTTAAATATACCGTAATTATTAATCCACTCTTCGCTCTCAAATAAACTTTTAACCGTCTACTAGGCATGTGTCAGCGATTAAACTAATAATAGTTAGTGAAGTAGTTCAGTGTATTGCCCTCTTAACTTGAGAGTCGCATCAGTCCTGATAGACAGGTGTCTGACAAAATTTCGGCACGATTAGCTTCTACTGACTTTCGTCATTTGTGGAATGAACTCGTTCAGAAGTGCTTTTTGACTAATCCCACCTAATATTGTGTTGTTCCTTTGTACAATTTAAACTTGGATTAATTTTGATTAGGTTATTTATTCTCTGAAGAAGTGGTTTACACTGATTCACAAAACGTCAGAAAATCTAATTTTTCTACTCATTAGGGATATGATAAATATATTATTTAATTTATAGAGGAGTCATTGTATTCGAAATCACCTTGGAACTATGAATTTGTGAAGTCTGGATCGTTCCAATCAGAATCAAATCAAAACTTTTAAGTAACTGTTTGTTATAAATATTTATTTTTAATATAGTTATGATGCTTGATTATATATTCTTTAATGGTATATAACCTAGAAATTTAATCAATTATTCACCCAATTTGATTTTCAACACATAATCTCCTAACTGTTTCGGTTTGGGCACCCGGGCAGTATCACAGCCCTCGCACATATCAAATGAGGTCTGTGTGACGCATATGTATTTGGTGCCTCCTTGGACCAATATCTATGTGTTAAAATAAATAAACTGTCCCACCATTTTTGATTAGTCAATCATCAAGAAATGGAATTTCAGAGTGAAATATTGTAAACTTGAATGATTAGTGGTAAATATGGAAATAAGATTATTTGCATATCATACTTCATGTTGAATATGACAAATGTGTTGAAGGAATTTAATATAAAGTTGGTTTATCAATCCTTGAATTGAGACTGCTACAGGCTTTATAATTATGACTCACCATGTTTTATTTGTTTACGACAGGCAAATTGTTTCCAAACTATAGATAAACTTATAAGCAAAGATGGATAGTGGCTAGCAGTGGAATCCAGGACGCGCGTTTTGTCGTGTTTGGGACTCGTCAGCTGGATGTACCTGCATCTCAGATAAACTTGGCGGCACAAATTCACCACTTAAGCTAAAATGACTTACTGAATATATGTGAACCAAAATAGGATTTCGCGGAACATAATTGGAACATTAGACGTCGTTTTTTTAAACATAATATAGAGGTAAATGACAAACATTAATCAAACCATAAAGTAAAAACCGCTATTTACATACTTCATCTGTATTGTACATACTAAGGCCTATTCCACCTCCGTTGAAGTCGAAAACTTTCACACGTTTTTCAAGTCCAGACGATTTGGGTGTAAATACAAGTTCCAAAACACCTTGTTCTTTAATGACCATATCTGTAGCTTTGTACTTGTAAAATCAAATTGAAATATACGGATCATCAATTATATAATACTCATATAGGAAAATAATTAAGATAATGGAAAGCGTGAAAAAAATGAAGTTAATTAGTAACCACTACATAAGTGAGAGAATAAGATAGATAAATGAGGAAAGAAATGTAGGGCAAACAGTATATATCCGTATGAATTCTCACGATCTACAATACGACGCATCAACTATAAAACAATGCATGGGTAAGCAGTGTAATTGCTCTTTCGTATAAATCTCACTTGTGCCAAATTCGGAGAAAGTAAACAAAAGCAAGACATTTTTATGACTGTGCCGGAATTTTGTGAACAGGTATCAAGTGATAAAATAATACATAGTAAAAACACTATTCCCCACTATGAAGCGCATATCATAGGCACTGAGATTTTTGAAATAGAACAGTGTGATATTGCAAAGGTAAGAAACAAATAAGAGTTTTAAAAAGATAACTTAGTGAGGGAATTATGAATCAATAAAAGCTAGAGTTAAGGAAGAATTTTGGTCAGTGGCACATGGTTACTCAGATCGCAAGCGCACACATATATTTATGTAACCCGGCAATAATGTGTGTACTACTTATATTGACATAATTAGTAAAGGATGTTAGTTGTGAACAGAATGTCTGGCAGCATATAGACAAGAAGATCGAACAGTGAAGAATGGAAACAGAATGCAATTAGTATGAAAATGAAAGAACAATGAAGTCTGAGTCATTATGAGACAATTGATGGACATTTTCCAAATTATGTATTTACTATTTGATTGTTAGATTTTATTAACAAGTCCTGTAATTTTGTGTTAAATACATTCGATTGTCCCCACTGGTGTTCTTGTTCACTACAATAACACTGAAAAATCTGTACTACACACGATATTCGGGTATCACAATTATAACAATGGTGAGTTCGCAGAAAACACAAACCATCTGATTTTCTAATCTTTATGGAGTTAGTCGGCAAACCACCTTACTTCTCAGCATAATGAATGTGATATCCAGTTACCTAGACTAGTGCCCGTATTGCAAATTGATCAGTAACATTCGATCGACACTAAGGATTCGAAAAATAGAACACTAGTCACTACTAAGTGATTAGTCAATTGTAAACTTCCTTATTTCGAATTTTTTATCAACTTAGTGGCATTTTTACTAATTACGTACTTACTCCTCGTGGAGGAACATAGACTGCCCACTAGCATTCTCTATCCAATCCAATCCTTGACTCGCCGTTCCAACTGCTATTCATCCTTTTGATATCTGTTCCCAATACTCGACGTATTGTGTTCTTTGGTCTGTCATTTTTTCGTTTCCCATCACGATTCAAAGTTAGCGCTTGCTTCGTGATGCAAATTGATGATTTCCGCAATATATATCTTATTCCTTTCCAAAGTCTAATTTCTAATTTCCTCTTCAGATGGAAGCTGCTTTGTTCTCTCCTATAGTAAGCTGTGGCTGATAGTATCCGGCCAATGGACACTGAGTATCTTGTATAGACAGTTGTCTAGAAATACTTGTACATTTTGATGGTGGTTGTGAAAGTTCTCTAAATTTCAGTTCCATACAGTAGAACTGTCTTGACGTTCGTATTGAAGATTCTGACTTTGGTATTGGTTGAAAGTTGTTTTTAGTTCCATATGTTCTTCAATTGTAGGAATGCAGCCCTTGCTTTGCCAATCCTCGCCTTTACGTCTGCATCCATATCCTTCCCGCTTATCGATGATGCTTCCCAGGTATGTGAAGGATTCTACATATTCCAGAGTTTCGCCACTAAGCGTGATTGGATTGCTTTTCTCCGTGTTGTATTTCAGGACTTTGGTTTTCCCCTTGTGTATGTTGAGGCCTACTGATGCAGAGACTGCTGTTACACTTGCTATTTTTATCTGCATTTGTTCGTGTGTATGCAATAGGAGGGCTAGGTCATCTGCGAAGTCCAAATCGTCTAATTGATTCTGAGCTGTCCATTGTATGCCGTATTTTCTCTCAGCTGTCAAGGTCTTCATAATCCAGTCAACTACCAGAAGAAAGAGAAAGAGGGAGAGTAAGCAGCCTTGTCTTACTCCGGTCCTTACCTGGAATGCATCTGTCAGTTGTCCTCCATTCACAACTTGTAGTGTAATCCATCGTATGAATTCCGTATGATGTTGACGATTTTCTCAGCTACTCATAAAATAGTGTGTAAGAAGGTTCCATAAGTTTCTTCTATACACACTGTGGTATCGAAGTCATTTGAAAACCTCGGACTGATGACTCAGAAATGCAAAAGAAGCAACCGTCAACACCCAGGCTGTGGATACCCTGTGGAGAGTAGCGTGCAGCGCAATGAGGGCAAATAATAGTACCACAAAGTTTGCACGAATCTAACGCCTGCTGCTTTCAAACGATTTGGTAAAAATGGATGCTGCTCGGATGCAAACAACTTGCAATGGTGAACGCTGCTTAACGGCATATTAGCAAGCGCAACCGAAATGGATGTAATGATGTTCTATCTGTCGATACACAATCGGTGTGCACTCGTCCCAAACAGGTTCAGAGTTGATTGAACTACATGGCCCAGCGCAGGAAGAACTGAATTCAAAGTGGTCTGTTGGGGACGAAAATTCAAGAAAGGAGGTTCATTATGTGCCCCGCCCTCCAAGTAGCGGCAGTCAGCGAACGCCTTGAAAAACTAGTCGAAACGCTAGGTCTCTTTCTAGTAATAAAAACAAAATGACCACCGAGGACATCGACAATCATCCAGGATATTACAGTATGTAACGCAAATGTGATTGCCACTCCAGTGAAAACTGATTAATGGGTAGAAATCAAGAACAAGACACGACTGAATATCATTAGACAAAAGCCAGTCTTCCCAAGAGTAGTTGAGAAATCAAAAACTGTCAATAGTGACAGGTCAGCCATCTTTCATACAGTCAAGGAAGATGAGAGCTCTGAGCCCAGAACATGTTTTGAGCATGACACTAGATTGATAAAAAGTCTACGTAACCAGCTAATGACCCACCTTGCTGAAGTTTTATAGACTAGGCAGCCAGACGGACTTGAAAGAAAATCGAACCAGACTGCTAAATGCAGTATTTAAATCTCCCAATGAAAGGGACTGAATACTACAGAATGGATATAAACTAAAGGGATGGTGAGTCTTTTTACATAGACTCGTCGCTCGCGGACTACATATAAAAATCAGTAGCTAAAAAGAGAACTAAAACTAAAGTTAGATCCTGTCGAGAAGGACCTTAAAATTGTGATTTTTTGGGTGGTTAGGCTTCGACAGAAAATGATGCCAAAGCCACTTTGGTGCAGAACAAATCCATTTAAATTGTCTCCGTATATGTTACACAAATGCTCAAAGCCTACTCAACAAGCGGTCGGAGCTAAGTGTATAGATAGACTACCAAGCTGGATGTATTCGCCATCACAAAAACTTGACTGACTCTCTATAGACAATGAAGAACGCAATTCGAAAATTTCACATTAGTAAGAGCAGACAAAACCCGTAAGTGTGGAGAAGCAGCTTTATTCATTAGGAATACTATTCTCTTTATCGTTACTGACAACATATCCCATGAGTAAAACATGAGAATTGGTTAGTTTGAATCTTAAAATGCAAACAACAACAGCTGTTGATTGGTTTGGTTTACCGCAGTCCAAACCAAGGTGAATGAAGTCCTGCTAGAAGGATTCGATACTTGGCCATCAAGGGGTCGATGCTTAATCTTTATGCACATATGGTAAACTGGAAAAATTTGAATGAGTTGTCAGAAAATTCTCTCGAATAGAAACTAGTTGATGCGGTTATTACACGTCCTAGTGCAACGCGTGAAAGAAGCAACTAGGCAGGAACCGGACTCTAAATAATCTATTCTAGATCTCATATTGACCCATAGTAAATCCTGTCTTAAAAATGGGTACAAAACACAAGCCTGGGGACTATCGACCCGTAAGCCTAACCAGCGTAGTTGCTAAATTTAAAAAAACATTATTCGAAAGTATTTCGACGAAAACTGGATTCATTTTGAAAAGCAGAATGGCTTTAAAACAAGTTATTCATGTCTCATAATCTTATTAGTAGCCCATGAGAGTTGGTGCACTCTTAAAGATCAAAATTTATCGACAGATGTAGCCTACATTGAATTTAGTAAGGCTTTTAACAAAGTTCCTCACAACCAGCTGTCATCTAAGTTAAGCAATATCGAGATTGGAGGCGATTTATTTAAGTGTACGGGTTAACTACGAGCTGTCTAGCTGGGAAACTGTGCTTAGCGGGGTATCTCAAAGCACAGTTTTGGGGCCAATGTTCCTCCTGTTTGTATATGAACTTCCTAGTCTCTTAACACCAGCGGTTTTGTTGTATGCTGACGATATCAAGATATGGAGAGCGATAAATAGTAAAAGTGATAGTTTAGAGCTTCAAAACGACCTAGATAAGATATATGAATAGTCTAGAATTTGGCAGTTGCAGATGAATGCTTTCAAGTTCATTGTGATGAATATTGGTCACTAAGGTACAGATACATACACGGTAAATAACACAGAGATGCCCGTTGTTCAGACACAATGACCTGAAACTCATCGTTAGCCAAGACTTGAAAACTACTACACACTACCGTGTGATAGCCAAAAAAGTATCAAAACCCCATGGCCTATACGTAAAGCCATCAGCTATGTCGATGCTAAAATCTTTTTGACTTTGTATACAGTGTTCGTTCAAAGAACCGCAACTAAGTTAATTCCCGGAATGCTAAAGCTCCGGTATAACGGCGGACTGGCTAAACCAAACCTACTTCCTTTGTCACATTGAAGGGCCAGATGTGACTTGATTGCAGTTTTTTAATTACTTAACGATAAATTAACATCCGATATGTCCTGTATTCTCCTCTTGCAAAACAGAGAATTTACGGAGACATCATAAAATGGTCCACAATCCCAGAACAAATTACTTGTCAGCTGTCGGTCAGCTACAACGTAGGACCAGGCACATATGTGTATCGGTCGGAGTTACCATACCTCATTAGCACAAGATGAACAGCGGATTCATAGAAGTAGTTAATTCAGTGGTGGTAATATATAAGAGAAAGATTGCGTATAAAGGCATGGTACAGGAAGAAAGAATTAGTACGTAGAAAGAAAGTTTAAGAGAGGACAGAGAATGTACACACTTACGCCATTGTGATCGATTCTGAGCCATGACACCCACAGTCTCCAACTATTGGTTACGATTGTCACGCGGACCCCAACCAAGTAGTCTGCATCTACCAACATGGCTAAGACTAGAAGTTAGTGACTTTAAGTATTGATGCCACGTTTTGGTTTGGCAGCCCCTAACTTTCTTCCAACCATCCTCAACACTAGTCAGCATTGCGCTTTGTGGTAATCGGTGTTCAAGTATACGTAACACGTGTTTCAACCATCTCAGTCGATAAAAATTCACAATTTCATCAACTGATTTACCATCATTCCCTAATACCCTGTTTCTGACCTCACTATTACTTACTCCGTGATCCCAGAAGATACAAGCAATATTTCTAAGACATCTGTGATCAAGTAGTAGTAACTTACGAGTATTTTCTACTCTTAATGGCCACGTTTCGCAGCCCTACAGTAGAACAGAACCTGCTTCGGTTTGGGCACCCGGGCAGTATAACAGTCCACACACAAATCAAGTGACTTAGGTGGCGCATATATATTCGGTGCTCCTTTGTACCAATATTAGTGTTCAGATAAATAAATAATTTCACTAAACAGAACTACGTCATCTGCGTATTCTAAGTCGATAAGTGGACCTCTTGGAAGGAGACCAATGTCCGAGAATTCAGTCGACGAGAACGTTATTTCCATCATAATGTCTATGATGAGGTTGTGCAAAAATGGAGATATTGGACAACCTTGACGGACACCACTGGAGGTTGCAAATTCAGGTGACAGTTCGCCATAATCTCTGGCTCAACTAATAGCGTTCGAGTAAAGAGCCTTAACTTGTCAGCTAACTATCGACTTTCCGATCGCATCATCAACGAATGGAATTCATTACTTCAAAACGTGACTGAAGCTCCATCCGTTAATCCATTCGATGGTTAGGTCAACTGGAAGATCACTATTGTCATTACTAACACAGGCCACCCAGCCTCCTTTTCTTTCCAAACTCATACTGAAACTTTCCAAACCTATCTAGTTCACTAGTATTGTTACAAGTTGGGACAGTGAACAGACAGGTTTAGTCGTCTCAACAATACATTTGAATTGACATTGTGTGCCCTAACAACAGTAAATGAAGTTATGAAGTAATATTAAAAAACTAACAATTCTTATCTGGAACTGTAGGCGGTTTCACATTCCGTGCAAAGTTATGAAAATATGCTTGACAAAATAACAAGCGACACTGTGTCATCAAAGACAGGATGCCTTATGCAGGATATGATTACGTAAATCATGAACAGAAACTATGAAAAGGCAATGAAACTGCAAGTACCGATGTCAGCTAACGAAGGGAAATTCATTTTTGAATAATAACCCTTTTAATTGTAATAGAAATTGATTTTCATCGTCTGAAGAACCTACCCACGGACGACTGAGAACACGAACATATGGTGTCACAGGAATAAACGGAAACTCATAAGTTTGTTACTCGGATACCTTGGGTTTTCAGTAACAATAATGAGTTTAAAATGTATGAAAACAATGGAAGTGTTAGTCATATATGGTGCACATGAAACTGAGCAATGAAACATTGTTTCTATTATAAACAATGTTAGGCGAAAACGTTACTACTGCAAGAGACAAATTTTCATTGGTTTAAATAATGACAGTCATAGTGATTCGAAACAAAAATAATAAGATAAACTTAAAAATCAAGATCACAAGGAAGACGAGGAGTGAATACATGAATACAGGGTGAGACGAACGCGGCTAGGGCAAAGCAAAGTCAATCGTAAAACTAGGCCTAAATGTTGCACCCTCATATACTTCTGATCTTAATAAACGCAGTATTCTATAATATTTGACTTTCGGCTAAGAATTATATCGTTTATTTGCATTTAAACAAGTTAAGTTACTTGATCTCCATGAGCATGACGGCCAATCACAATCGGTTTTGTCCATCCAGGAACAAGTCGAGGAACGTTTGCACATAAAATAGGTTCGCGGAAAACAGTACCACCAAGGATATTACGAATAGTCCCATTTGGAGACAGCCACATCTTTTTTAAGTTAAACTCTGAAAATCACCGATGATCCAAAATAACGAACCTTTTACACGTTCTTCATCAGGAGTTATGGTCGCACACTTGATCCCCACATTATATTGTTTAATAGCATGTGCTGCCTCAATCGTTACTTGATCATTAGTTCGGTCACGATTGGGAAGTCCCAAGTCGTAATATTTGCACTCAACGTCCACGAACGGAAATATAAGCTACTATGTATACGATAAATATCATTTTTAGTTACAGTGGATTTGATTTTATCCCAGATTATATGAGTCATTTCGTCCCCATCCAAATCAACAACTGGATTCGCTACTCTGATTCGCGCGTGATGTAGACACCTAACCACACCTTGGCGCAGGTGAAAAAACAAACGACTAACGTACTCCCAGAACTCAAGCTAAGAGTCTTCTTAAAATATGACAAAAGATGGGGCGCACCAACCATTTTACAGTCAGGATTTTCGAAAATCTGCTGAACTACATAGCGTAACTCTTGTTGATGAATTCAAACAACAAATCCCGTATAATTTCACATTTGTGTAGTAGGAACGAAAGGTATTCAGCTTATGTTATTCGTTTTCTAGTAAGCTTTTTAGAGTGTCTGGTCTCTTCTTAAATGAGTCAATTGAAGGTACGATCACAGCTTCGTGTAACAGATTCCAAGAACTGACGACTCTATGTGGAAACTTGAATGCAACTGGTATTTTGTTCATTCCTGGTTCTTCTGCTTGTCTTATATGTCCTCTGAGTTGTTTTAATATGCTAGGAAGAAAAATAGAGGTTATCTCAGGTCCAATATCATTTCATAGTATTTCGTACATCGAAATCAGATCTACGGTAATACATAGTTAAGTGGTTTAGCCACTCTCTATACAGTAAACCGCGGGATCCTGGATCTCCACGAGTAGCTGATCTTTGTACTTCCTCCAGGATATCCGAATCGCCTTTTAAACAGGGTTTTTCAGCCTTAGTTTTCAATTTTAGATTTCACTAAATGTCTGTCTTACACCCTTTGGCTGCGATCTCACGGCAGTGAGCCATGGTCCTAAAGTTTCTTTCTTCAGCAGAAGAGAAAGTAACTTTTAAGAGGTAGCTCTCCTGAGTACTTTCAGAATCTCTCTCTTGTTTTGTTCTATAAAGCTTATGAATGCTAAACACTGCCACTATTTCTGGAAGCAGCTTGCCTATTGAAAACTTAATATGGCTTAGATAGTGTTCAAATCTAGCCTTTTGTTCCTTTAAACAATGCCTATTCTTCTGAATCTCAGTCCAAGTTTGAGGAAAGGTAGTTTTGTCGGAGGAAGGTTATTAACCTGTACCGCAAATATTGTCTGGGTCTGGAAATGCCCACTTTATATAGCATTCCTGTGCTCGTCAGTCCTATACTTTTCACTCAGTGTTATCTGGAAACCGGGTTGAACCGCTTACTAAAGTCTAACGTTGATGAAAAGCGTAGATGAAATGCTGATCATTGATGTCTTGTTTGGTCATGCGGAGTTATCAATCGCTTTCCGCAACACGTTAGATTTTGTTCGCGTTTGGACGTTGTTTCGTTTTCAAGGCTTGAGCAGTTGCTGTGTTAAAATATAGGGGTACCGGGGGGGTCAAATAAGTTGGTGTAATCGCATTGTAGCGGTAAATAAATCCCCAAAATAAATAGCTCTAAGTTTTGGACATTGGATGCTGACCATATGTTTTAGTGGACTAATCTAGCTGAAGGCGCTCGGTCAGGCATCCGCACCAGATCACGTGTGGTAACGCCATGCTCAACATCAACCGCAATCGCTAGCCAGATTAGATCAGAGAATTCCGATATATTGGCCATCGCCAAATATACTCTTCCGATCTCCTCGACTCTGTCTTTTGATTTCTCTGGGTGGGAACGAAATACATTAGAAGGTGTTACTGGTAGAAGCGTTGTCAAACACTGAATACCTGTGACATCATCATTGGTGAGACCGACGTGATCTGGTACACCTTATTGCAACTGTGAGTCTGTTCCTTTTTGGGATTTTTATATATCATTGCCTTATTTTTTATTCTTTTTTAAACATTGTGATTTTTTTTGGGCTTTTTCTTGGATATATATATTTTCCCCTCGTTCATTATCATACTTAATATTTCATCATGACTGAACAGACACCTAAAGTACTCAAGCTTAAGACTTTGTCCCCACCTTCGTTTCAACTGATGCCTTTCTGGCCCGACAACATCGAAGCCTAGTTTTGCTACGCAGAAGCCGACTTCTCCGAGCACGGCGTGATCGACACACGTGCACAATTCCTCGCAGTAGTCAAGGCACTACCGCGCGAGTTCAACAGGTACGTAACACCTAGTATGTTTACTAGTGATGTTTCCGAACCTTACGAAATATTAAAACGCTCGATTCTCAAACGAGGAGACCTAACCGATCGGCAAAGGTTAGATCAACTCTTCAACAATATCGACCTGCAACACGGTTCTGCGACGGACATGTTGCAACGGATGAGAGAGGTAATAGGCCCAAGAACTTTCGATGAAGGCCTATTCAAACAACTCTTCTTGTCAAAACTTCTCCAACAGGTGCAAGCAGTTCTGGTCTCGTTCCAGAACAACGCCCTAGACGAGCTAGCTGCATCTGCCGACCGCATTCTAGAAATTACGAAACCTACTACCGAGGTATTTTCAGTCAAAGAAAAGCCTCAAACGACTCAGAATGATATAACCGACTTATGTCACATACTCACGCGTTATCTTAGTCTTCGTACCGACCGTAAGAGATCGCGCACACCACGTAGAAGCATTTCTCGTAAGCAATCTGTCTCTAGACCACGAGAGACAGATAACCCCGACTGGTGCTGGTATCATAACCAGTATGGAAAGCTTTCCAGAAATTGCAGAAAACCCTGCAATTTCCCCAACACGAAACCGACTGATTCGAAAAGCAATTCGGGAAACTTTCAAGCCGGCACGCGTTAACGGCAACCGTAGCCGGCGAACATAGACGTCTGTTATACGTCACAGATGTGACAACGAGAGTTCGCTACCTCGTCGATACTGGCGCAGAAGTTAGCGTTCTCCCAGCGAATCCCAACGATCGGCTTCAAGAATCGGCTCTAAATTTACAGGCGGCAAACGGAAAACCGATCGCTACGTATGGCAAAATGTACGTTTACCTTAACGTGGGTTTACGCAAACCCATTCACTGGATTTTCATTGTTGCAGATGTTTGTATGCCAATCATTGGTATGGACCTTCTACAACATCACAATCTGATCATCGACACTCGCAAACGGAGGCTAATAGACGGAAACACCAATTTGTCCGTTTGCGTAACTTCTTTTACTGGTTGCAGAGTATCCCCAGTCACAGTTAAACATATGATAGACCCACTCTATCAACCACTACTCGATAAGTACCCTGGGATACAACAAACTCAACCGAAACTACCGTGTGTAACCAGCAATGTTACACATCACATCACGACTATAGGACCACCTGTATTTTCTAAAGCACGACGACTAGCTCCTGAAAAGCTAAGGTTAGCGAAAAACGAGTTCGACCATATAATAGACTTAGGAATCATACGACCGTCAAGTAGCCCATATGCATCTCCGTTGCACATGGTCCCTAAAAAGGACAGCAACGATTGGCGTCCAACTGGTGATTATCGGCGATTGAACGAGAAAACCATTCCCGATCGTTACCCGTTGCCTCACATTCACGATTTGACAGCTACCTTGAAAGGTACAACTGTCTTTTCGAAAATCGACTTAATTAAAGCATATAACAAAATCCCTATGGCTACTGACGATATACCAAAAACAGCCATCATAACTCCCTTCGGACTCTATGAATTTTTGCGAATGCCTTTCGGTCTAAGAAATGCTGCTCAAACATTCCAAAGATTCATAGACGACGTTTTTCGAGGTCTCAGCTTCGTACACGCGTATGTTGACGACTGTCTAATCGCAAGTCCGGACAGAAAAACACATCTCAAGCATCTGAATCTTGTTTTCGAACGACTACAAAAACATGGCATTACTGTAAACGTTCAGAAATGTCAATTCGGAACCTACTCGTTAGATTTCCTAGGACACACTATCGATGCTCAAGGTATCCGACCCCTTAGAACCAAAGTGGCGGCCATTCTGGATTACCCAGAACCGACCACCGTTAAGCAATTACGCACGTTCAATGGCCTCGTAAGTTTCTATAGACGTTTCATACCCAAATGCGCATTACTTATGAAACCTCTGACCGACCAACTCCGTGGAAATGCGAAATCCATTAATTTGGACGACACCGCACGAAAAGCATTCTCCACAGTTAAGGAACTGATTGCTTACTTTGTGACACATCTACAGGAAGGGATCGCCCAATCGTGCCGAAACATTATCGATACAATGTCTTCAACACATTGCACAAACTTTCGCATCCAGGTGTTCGTGCAACCATCAAGCTCATAGCAGAACGGTTTTGCTGGCCTGGAATGAATAAAAACGTGAGGGAGTTGGCACGCTCCTGTGTAAGCTACCAAAAATCTAAGGTTATCAGACACAATAAATCCCCCTTAGGCTCGTTTAAAACTCCCGATGCTCGTTTCGACCATGTTCATCTGGATTTGGTAGGACCTTTACCAGATTCAAATGGATACTCTTATCTCTTAACCTGCGTAGACCGTTTCACTCGATGGCCAGAAGCAGTGCCTATCAAGGACATCACTGCTGAAACAGTAGCCCGCACCTTCGTCGAACGATGGGTAGCAAACTTCGGCTGCCCTTCAACCATCACCACAGACCGCGGACGTCAGTTTGAATCTGAACTTTTCCGTCGTCTGACCACACTTTTAGGAATCACTCGCTTCCGAACGACCGCCTACCATCCACAAGCAAACGGGTTGGTAGAACGTTTTCACCGACAACTAAAAGCTTCACTATCAGCTGCAAACGTTTCACAGTGGACCGACGCTCTTCCACTTGTCTTACTAGGTATCCGCAATGTAGTGAAAGCTGACATTGGATACAATGCGGCTCAACTGGTTTATCGAACGACACTTCGACTTCCAGGAGAATTCGTGGATCCTTCGTCCTCTTCAATGAACATGGATCTAACCTCCTACACGAACAGGCTCACAAACGCAATGCGTTCAGTTAAACCTGCTTCCACTCGACCTCAATCAACTGATGTTTTCGTTCAACCTGACTTACGATATAGTACACACGTTTTCGTTCGTCGAGACTCGCATCGACGACCATTCGAATCAGCATACGAAGGACCCTTCAAAGTTCTTCAACGTGAATCTAAGTACTATGTAGTCGATAAGAACGGAACCAACGATAGCATCAGCATCGATCGCTTAAAAGCAACGTATTTAGAAGGAAATCCTATCTACGTGGATCTTCCTTCGGTACAATCGAACGACACGACTCCGACACTTATAATACCTCATCCGACAACCAACACACACGATGATACTTCGACAGTATCCGAAAATAAACTTAAAACGACG